ATACTCAATTGAAATTTTTTTACCAACTTCTCATATACTTAGGAAAAAAATTCAAAAAACATTCGATTTTATACTCAATTGAAATTTTTTTACCAACTTCTCATATACTTAGGAAAAAAATTCAAAAAACATTCGATTTTATACTCAATTGAAATTTTTTTACCAACTTCTCATATACTTAGGAAAAAATTCAAAAAACATTCGATTTTAATTTTATAAACAAATTACTGTACCTTTGATTGACTAATAGTTTTTTAACAAAAAAAAATAACCAACTTCAAAAAAATATAGTAAAAATAACTGAAAAGCAAAAAATACATTTTTAAAACTTAAGTATCAACTCAAGAATTATTAAACTATTTATCTTTTTCTTAAAATTACAATACATACAGTACATATTATATATTCAACTTATCTAGTTTCTCTTAGACATATGTATACAAAGTAATACTCATTTTAGTTAACACATTTACATTCAATCTCTAACTCTATTCAAAACATAATCTGTGATTTATTTTGGAACTAATTTCCGTCATCCCTTGTCCAGCTTGGGTTGCAGACAAACCGGTTTCGGCGTTGTGCCATCTTCAGTGTAATTTTTCGTTCTTTAATTTAGGTTCATTTATCTTAGGTAATGTGATTTTCGTCGATGATTAATTACTAGATATGCCATGGTGTCCTTTTTTTTTTAAAAGGTAATAGGTTCATCTTCGCTGTCTCGATATTAACATTTTTTGCCTGGAGGTAGGTAAAAGTCGGTGATTTTTGCCGTGGTGGAAGTTATTGGTGAGTTCGGAGTGTCCATGCCTGTTGTTTTGTTGTCATTTTTCTTTCCGAACCGCTATTTGTTTGTTCGTTTATTATTTTGCCGTCGTTGGTTTTTAGTTTCTATATTTCCATATTTTCTAGTTTCGCTTTCTTTCTTATTGGCGTCGGTGAACATTTGTTGTTAAACATGCAGTTAGCGATATTTGACTCTGGCGAAACTTTGTTAGTTTATACGTTGACTTTCCAGTATAGGTTAGTACTGCACAATTTTTGTCATTGTTTTCTTCTTTGTTTGGCTTTTTGTTTTTGTGCTCCCTTCGGATTTCCTCTACCAGATCTCTCTTGTATCTATTATTAGCCGCAATGGCATATATTGCGTTCAGTTCGTTTTTGTATCCTTCTTTTGTTAGTGGTATTCCCTCAATTCTAATGACCGTCTGTCTAAGGGCGGCTTTTTTATCCTGATGAGGTTGGTTCGAAGTATTATTTATTATTGTATCTTGGGCTCTTGGGCTTCCTAAAAATTTCATATTGCAGACTACTGATGCTTTTATTTATTTTAATCTTCAGCTCTAAGTAATTTAGCCTTCCATTCATTTCTGGTTCCATTGTGAATTTTATGTTGCTGTGCTGTTTGTTGAGGTATTCCAATAACTGTTCCTTCATTTTTCTTCCTGTCGGATGCGGGTTCAGCGAGTCTAAAACTCCATATATATGAATTTTCAGGTTAATTCAGTTTTCCCTACTTGACCTTCAAATGACCTCGAAACTGACGTGACGAAGGCTTACAGACCTTGTATTCGCATGCAAGGCGTCGAATAACATAGGGCAATAAAATTTAATGTTTAGTGCATATAAAGCTTTTCGAATTTTTTTCCTAAGTATATGAGAAGTTGGTAAAAAAATTCAATCGATTATAAAAATAAAACTTTTTAAAAAAACAAAGTCGAAATATTACAAACTGACCACTTTACCTTGTTGCCCAATAAGTCTTCTAATTGCTGTAAAAAAAAACAACAGAACATTCGAATGAATAGTTGCTGAAATATTGCAAAAAGTGTAAAAGCCTGCATAAAAATTTGTTTGCAAAAACTCATCGAAAAATTAAAATTAGCGCAAAAGCTTTGGTGTCAATATGGAAATGTCGGATTACGCAAATTTGTCATTTCCATCAATTATAGTTTAGAAATAAAAGTCGAATGTTTTGCATTGTAGGATTCCTCAATTCCAATATACCCGCTTTTGTAAGGTCTTTCTATTCATTTAGTTTCGAAACTATTCTAATTGTACTTCTTCAAACTTCGACTTGGCTCATTCTCATTCAAAATTCTTGTTGCAGCGGTTTTAACTTAAGACATTTTACTATACATAGTTCTAAAACAAATGCACCGGAATGAGGATATCAATATGTTTTATATTACAGGGTTTGAAGACAAATTGACTGAGAGGGGGAATACAGGATTCCATTTGATTTTCAGTTTTGCTTCAAATGATGCCTAGTGCGGTGATAACGGCAATTTGAAAATGGCTCATTCGTTGTGCTCTCTATGCAGTTATAAAACGTAATTTATATGTATAAGTCGCCACTGGGATCATTAGACCCACTAGTACTTTCTTGATTAATACTTTGAATTTTTAGATATACTGATTGATATCGATTCAACGGTCATTAAGGGCGTGCTCGAAATACTGAAATAACGGGCGAAATTTCTATTAGGTCGGCCGTAGAACGTAGGATTCTCCTATCCGATTATCTCAATGGTTCGTCTGTTCCCACACAAGCTGAAGCTGAAAATAAAATGAAATAAATGAAAGAATGAAATGAACGTCCCGCACACCGATAACACGGACCAAGGCGAATTTATAAAAGGTGATGTTGATGGCGAATTTAGATTCTCGCCGAGGTACGTCTTAATGTCAAAATGATGTGTTTGTTGTAAAATGAATTCGCCTTGTTTACAACAAACACATCATTTTGACATTCAGTAGTACCGCGGCGAAAATTTAATTCGCCATCAACACCACCTTGTATAAAATCGCCTCGACACGGACGATTCCGATAATCTGATAAGAAAATCTTATGTATGCGGTCAGCCTTAGGTTCATTACTTTTCGATTCGTTTACTAACACATATACACAGTGCGACTTGTCAATTGCACATTAGATAAGACTACATATCTTAAGTATATGGCTTTGCTTCTTTTCTCTTCTAGTAGATAATTATCAGGAAGAAGAAGAATGAGAAAATTGAGAGAATTACGTTCACAGAGAGAGAAATAACGAAATAGTAATTCGAGCAAAGCCAACGTCATGTGAAAGAGCAAAAGATATACATAGGCAGGCTCGAAATCTTAGCACCTAAAACGTATTCAGCAAAAGCACATTTAATAATGACGAGAATAGTTCCAAAATTTTAAATTGGTGGGAAAACTCAATAAAAGTTTGATCAATTCATATAGTAGGTATACAAAAAGAACAAAGATGAAGACACATCGATGATGTCCCTTGCAACAACGACACAATTCAAAATGCAAAAAATTATTTTTCGAATTTTGAATTGTCTCGTTATTGCATAGGACCGACCATCCACATATCTTCGTCATTTCTGGGGAGTTTAGTTGTCTGTTACACTAAACATATTCTTCTTATGAAATCTCCAAAAACGTAAATTTTGAATCAATTCTCTATATATATTATTAAACGTATGATATATGTATATGTATTTGCTGAAAACTTAAAATAAAGGTACAAAGTCTTTGCTATGCAAATCAAATATTTTGGAGGATTTTGAGGCTTTGTTCGAAAAAACAACGGAATCGTTCTAACCTGAATGATTTTTTAGTTGCATTCATAGAGAATCTGACGTCGGAAATCTTGCGTAGAAAACAATTTAGTATACACATACACGTATACATACATATTCAAAAAATTAGAAGCAGCTCCTTACACTCGCATACAGAGTACTAGAATCGATTTCAAGTGTTCCTTAGGTAAACCTTTTGATGATATAGATGATATTAGAGTTACCCTAATACAAGATTGCATTTGAAAGAAAAGTGTTAACAGTAGAAAAAAAAAACCCAAATTTGTTATACTGAATGTAGTCCTCCTAAATGGATGGCAAAGTTTGTTGTACGTATGTACAGACATATATGAAAAATTAAACTTTTAAGACGAAGAATAATATATATATTTATTCTTATCAAATTTTATATATCGATATCAAATTTTATTAGTTTTTGAAATGCATTTATGTATGTATGTATTTTAAAAATGATCTCACATCATTCATATGTATAAACTTTTATGATATTGAACTACAAAATACAACGTTTTGAGTACGCAACTCAGAGTACGACGCATGGTTATTGTATTCAATATACATACACATAAAGGTAATATATATATAGATACATATACTGTGTAGTAAAGGCAAAAAAAAACGCTCAAAAAGTGCAACAAACATAATTTCAACCTCAACAAATCAATAAGATTGTTTGTAGCTTGTAGCTAAAAATAGATATACATATGTATTCTAGAATATACTAATTGAAATTAGAATTACAAAATCAAATATAAATAGTCAAGACATACATACATATGCATGTATGTGGTATGTAGGTATGTAGTTTAAATTGGCATTTTGTAATGCCGAAAATTCCATTAAGCAGACGTGTCAATAAAACATGAAAATAATTTGAATTCCAAACATCCAATTGTCCGAATATTTATTCCAATGATAGTTGCGCAAAAATATATAAGGCAAGGTACGCACTGTGTAGAAAAGTGCTGAAGAATGTGTTGACTGCAAATATGTATGTATGTATTTATATTTGAAAATAAGTAGATGTGCACGCAATTGAATCCATGAATGTGATGTACGTACGCTTACTTAGTGCTTTGGTGTAAAAATGCAGCTTTTAGATATTTTGTGATGGCATTTCTATTTTTGCTACTTCATGGTATATTGATTTTTAAATTTTAGCGGTTTCGTTTGCGTTTTGACTTTCAAGGCTTAAGTAATATTTTGAAATCATCATTGGCGTTCTCCATTATATACTCGTATGCAATTTTGTCTTTCTTATCCTTAATTTCCTTCAATTTTGGATCCTTTTCGAGCAGAAATTTGCAAACTTCCAAGTGACCACGTATAGCTGCCCGATGAAGTGCTGTCTGACCATATTCATCTTGCAATTGGAGTTTGGCCTTGGCGCCCACCAATAATTTGACTACATTTAAATGACCTGCACGAAAAATAGGAAGAAATGTTTGCTATTAGTATATAAATTAGTGAATAATATTAAATATTTTATTTTTGCACACAGGGTGACCCAAAACGTTTCACTTTGTTTTGAAATTTTATATAATAAGCGATTTTGAAATTTTATATAATAAGCCATTTTTAATCAAGTATCAAGGTTTATACACGAGTCTTTAACTTAGAAGACTCAAACACAAAATCGACGTTTTTTCATTTTGATTCTTAGTTCACTTATGAATGCCAAGTAAGGAAATTAGCGTCACAAAATTTGCGATAAAGGTATAAAGTCTGAATGTACTTTAATAATAACGTGTGCGGAATGAAATACGAACTGATGCAGTAAAAAGAACCAGCTATACTTTCGGATGCAACAAATACTGTTTTTCCGCTCACTTAGATATTGTCGAAATTTACAAGAAAAACTTTTGTAGAAAATACTCATGTCCATAACGATTGATATGTTTAAGTTCTCAGGCATAAATCGGAGGGGGTTTTTTTTTTTTAAAAACTTACTGTGCCAACTTGAGTTATTATTTTTTTAGCCATTTAGACGATAAATAGTTCATAGTTATATTTAGGCAGTGCTGCCAACTATCCAGTAAAATCGAGTAAAAAAATCCAGGCTTAGATTAAAATAATTTAAAGAAATTCATTTGAAACACTACTTGAAATTAAAATTAATAATAGAATAATACATCTAGGATCGAAGTTTATAAGAAATAGAAAATAAGAATAAAGTTAATTAGCGCTGCGTAGCTTTGCGTTGACCAAGTTTAGCTGACTGAATAAAGTTCAAAGTCTGCATTAGACCTAGGTAGTCAAAGTAAATGAACTGCAAATTCCGGCAGATCTGAAAACAATTTGTTGCCACCTGCATCCGTATTAGATGGCATTAGGTGGCAGATATTTGCGTACCTGTGACCTTGTCACGGTTACACAAAAGTCACGGGTAACTGCTGTGACAACTTCCAAAGAATCACCGGGACAGACTGTTACAAAGGAACAGTTGCAATAATGTTTTTAGTAGGATTGCGTCTTCTACAATGACAGTAACAGTCACAGCTGCAGTACGAACTGTGACTGTGATAAAGTAGCAGTGGCAATCAGGGTTACCACTGAACAACTTTCTTTCCTACCAAGAGCTGGTTCAAAAATCTACCAAAATGGCTTTTTTCGTACCATTTAAGAAAACGGAGTTTGACGGCAGAAAATATTTTATACTCAAAATAAGATATCTAGGTAAACAAAAGGATCAGAATAATAGCTAGTATATAGATATTTAAGAACATATTTTGCATAGCACGCAAAAAAGTGGTGAGTGCTTTTAGTCAGACTCACGTACCGACATGTAATCCGGCCCGCTGAACCCGGTTAAAAACTTTGAGATCCTCCAATTTACTGGAAACAATAAGTTGTTTTCTTTTTAATTTTTGTTTATGATAAAAAATAACATATTCTGTAAACACGTACCTACATTTGTTATTTTAATAACCTTGTCATTGTTGAATCCCAATAAACATTGGGCTTGGTTAGCAATTCGAAAATGATTGGAAAGCTAACATTGTTTCGAGTCTCACTTTCGATAACGAATGTGCAATAGGTTAGTATTCGATTCGGGAACAAGGCCATTCTCCAGCAAAACGGAACCCTCGTTATCCAATGTATTTTCCCTTCGTCATGAATTCAAAATCCAGCCCATTATCGAATTGAAATTTTATTGTGAGAGAGCGATTGTTTTTATATTTTCCTTCGAGAATGAGCTGGACTTCACTATCTCTCTTGTTACTATGGTTTCCATTTTTTTTTTCGAACCCATCTCGAGTGTATTTCCAATATACTATGAACGTTAGAAAACTAAGGTTGGTTATGAGTTCGCTCTCAGTCCGATATGCATACTGGATATCGAAGGTCATTTTCGAACGTTCGCCAAAATGTTTCTAGGGATCTATTATCGATCGACTGCAATTCAAAGAAAAATATCTGATTTATAAACCTGCCTTTACGTCCATCAATTCAATCACTTGATATCCCTTTAGATACCCAGTGGATACAAATTTTTATAGCGTATACGGAGTTCAGAGAATCGCCGAAGGTCATTGGTGAAATTCTGCCTATGCCAGTAAGCAATGCGGTTTTTAAGATATTTGTCAAACAGTTGGACCCATCCAAGAAACAGAATGAGGGTAAAACTGATATTGTCCCAATTTGGCAAGCCTACTCACAGTGCTGACAAAGTGACACACTACAACAAACCAGAGATGTTTTCTGTTTTATGAGCAAAGAAACCTACCAAATATGGCCAACTCGCGAAGCGAAAATATGGCCAACTCCCATCTTTTTTCGCGCGTTGACAATCAGCCGGTTTAATATTTATTTTCTTTCGTCCGAATTCGAGTTTTCACGCAGAAACATAAAATTGAATTACATTGCTGATATTTTTAAAGCAAAATATATGAAATCCACAGCAATTTTGACGAGTAAAAAAGCAGCACAAAATTGTTTTCTTGGCGTTCATTGTGGCATACCTTTGCGTCTGGCGCTTTGCTAGCAAAGTTATAAATGTAACGCAAAGCCACAGAGTTTTATCTGGCATCAGCTTAAAATCTGATTAATGTTGTTTGATATTACAAATTTCACACCATTAAAAATGTCAATGTGGATGACCAAAACAAACAAGGAAAGTCAGTGATGCCAAATAAATAAATAATGCCGTTAGTTCACTCGGTAAAATATTCCTGTTTGCAACTTTTTTGTCACGGTTTTTGTCACAGTCACGGATGAAAATCATTGTGACTGCAAAGTCACAGTCACAAATAACGTTGTTCTTCAAAAGTCACGAGATCGCCCATCTCTAATGCATATAAGTTTGAACTTCTTCCCAAAATTGCATTGCATTACTTATGTATATTATTCATTTTACAAAAATGATTCTATTAAACTGAATTATTATTTTTTCTATGATATCATCACTGTAAATAAAGTGTTTAAACCGTCCTCATGCGATGCGCGTAAACATTGCCCACTGAAAAACTATCAACTTTTTTAATCGTATCGAAATTATCTGGTAACATTAAATACATATCGCACACCATCTTCAAAAGTGACACAACTCAAATTATACGTTAGTCAGAAAATGAAAAAACCAATTTCGTAGCACTTGCTAATCATATGGGCAAGGGAGACTTTACCTTGCGTTCTTTCAACAAATTATAACAAAAATTCGCTCCAGCTTTTGCTTAAAGGTAAATAAAAGTTCTGTGTACATCTTTAATGCATTATTTTAAAAATGCCAAATTTTGAGTTGTGTCACGTTTGAAGAACGTGTGCGATATGTATGTACATGTGTACCAGAGCTGGGTAAATGCAATTACATTACAATTACATTCCTCAGTAATTGTAATTAGGATTCAATTCCTTTAGTTCACTGCAAAGGAATCGATTACTTTTTCAATTCCTTGAAGTAATTTCAAATGGAATTGTTTTTTTCTTTAATTCCATTACAAGGAATTTCATATTGTAATTGGAATAAATTACGTGCTAGTAATGTAATTTCTTTTATTTCAATTCCTTTGAAAGGAATTGAAAATGTAATTTTTTTTCCAATTCCTTTGAAAGGAATTGAAAATGTAATTGATTTTTTTTCCAATTCCATTCCTCAAAGTAATTTAAAAAGTAATCGAAAAATTTATAAAAAAAAATTTTTTACTGTTGAATTGCAATAGCTTTGTTAAATTTCCTGCTAGTATTTCATACAAAAAATTATTGCACTTTCACTTAACCCTTGCAAACTTGTTTATTTATCCATCGATTTTCATCGGTAGTAGTGTTTTAACCCGCAAAACAAGCAGAGTTTGGCTAGTCTATACTAATATATATTTTGAAAGGCGTTTTTTTCTGTTCGCAAAGCTCGAGAAAGGCCGTACCGATTTTTTTGAAATTTCGGAATCTACTGCAGACTTTCCAAGGATGGTTATAGCTAAAAAAAGTTTCGATATAGAAAGGGGGCGTGGCACCTCCCATACAAACCGAATTTTTCAAACTGCATATATTTGTGGTAGAGGACTAGAACTGGGTATGGTGATATCTATATACATATATAAGACCAATTCCATACTCATGGAGAAAAATTTGCATGGTTGGAGAATGGCGTGTGGCACCTCCCATATAAACCGAACTTTTCATATTGCATATTTCTGGAAGTGTTCATGGTAGACTGTAAGCCTTTTTAAAACTCTTTAGTTAGACACCCACATGCCAACATTGCATTTACTTTATCAATTTAACTGAGTTACAATTTCCAAATAGGTGGCAGCCCCCTCAAAAATATTTCCAACAGTTATCTTTCTCAAACCTTTTTAATTTGATACCCATATTGTAATATTTTATTTATTTTATCAATGTAATTTAGTTAAATTTTCAAACAGATGGCAACCCTCCTCAAACATATTTTCGGCAGTAAGCCTTCTTAAAACTCTTTAGTTTGACACCCACATGGCAATATTTAATTTTTTTTAACAATTTGACTGAGTTTAAATTTTCAAATAGGAGGCCACCCTCGTCAAAAATACTTCCAGCAGTTATCTTTCTTAAACCTCTTTAACTTAATACCCATATTGTAATAATTCATTGATTTTAAATTAATTAAATTTTAAAATAGGTGGCAACCCACCAAATTTTTGCGATATCATTGGTTCTGGTATTATACCGAATAATAAAAAAAATATTATTCAAATCGGTTCAGCCGTTCTCGGGTTTTGATGACCGTGACATACGAACACAACATTTTTATATATATATAGATATACATAGAAGATGTCCAATGTGTGCTTTCGATTTTAATCTTTGACCACAACAAAAATTCCACATTGTATATTCGTGAATGAACTTTCAGTTTCTCGATTACTTTTACAATTCCTTTGAGTAATTGGAAAAACTAAAGTACTCTTGCAATTCCAGGTAATGGAATTGAAAAAAAATCAATTACATTTTCAATTCCTTTCAAAGGAATTGGAAAAAAAAATTACATTACTAGCACGTAATTTATTCCAATTACAATATGAAATTCCTTCTAATGGAATTAAAGAAAAACCCAATTACATTTGAAATTACTTCAAGGAATTGAAAAAGTAATCGATTCCTTTGCTGTGGACTGAAGGAATTGATTCCTAATTACAATTACTTGTAATCTGTAATTGGGAGTAATTTAATTCCTAAAGGAATCATTACGACCCAGCTCTGATGTGTACTATATTGAATAAGAACAAAAGCTAAAAATCCGTCAACGAATTTCTCAAAAAGCTGGATTTCCCGCTTTCCGCAATTTCTCATTTCCTGCCGCTAAATGGACTTCGAAAAGCCAAAATCTGGGGTAAACTTTGTACTTTATAATCATTATAATCATTATACGCTGTGATTTTGCAAATTTCAAGCAATTTACGCTTTTTCGCACTCGTGGGTCTTCCTTCTACTGTTTTCCTATTCTAAAAACCCGACATTTCCTTTGGCTCCTGTGTTTACCACAATCTTTTAAGTCTGCTTAGAAATTGTCCACATTTCATTCCGCATACGTTAGACAAATTTTATGAAAATCCAATTCTAATATAACCAAAATTTTTAATGTCCTTGTGCTAAATGGCATTGGTTTTTCACTTTTCGGACACCCCCTCTTCATGTAAACAAAAAAGTTACCCATCATAGCAGCGCGATGTAGTGCCGTAGCACCTGCTTTTGTAACAGCATCCACATCGACCTTGCCATCTTCGATTAACATTTTGCATATTTCTAAATTGCCATTGCGCGCTGCGTAATGAAGCGCTGTGTAGTCGAAGTCATCGCGGTCCATTGATTTGCCGCGACTAATGAAATTACGTACGCGCTCCGGCTCGTTGTAGATAGCTGCATTCGAAAAAAAAAGAGAAAATAATAACTGCACGTATGTAACTATTTGAAATGTGTAAATATATTTACTCTACTGGCATAAGCGCGGCTGGTTATCTGGTTATATTGTTATATTTGATTCAGTTTGCAACAATAAAGCCCAGTTTTTCAGTTCATGACTGTGGTCTAAACTTAGTTTAAACGCGCCAGCTGGCACGCCATCTGTTGAATTTAAACGCAGTTTACGTGATCCAAGTTTAAACCAGCACTGAGAAACTGGCCCTAAGATACACTGGAGAATAGTAATCTTTTAATAGGTAACCTAATAAGCAGCGAGAAAATATTGAATTTAAGCCCGTAAAGGTATTATATCCCATTTTTATGAGAAGAAAATTCAGCCCGCAAAACACTACTGTCATCTAAATTAATTGCCCGTTTCTAAACGGCTGGTCGACAGATTGCACGGAAACTTGGCTTTATTAATAAAGAAAGCATCTACTACCAATCTACAAACAACAAAATCGTAAACCTGGCCTTTACCCGGGGCATTCAAGTTCCAATAATTTTTTTGGGAGACTGCGCGATTGACGAACTATTTTTGAACACATAATTTGTTGAACGATCTTTGATAGTAACGGAACAGCTCGTTTAGTATCTAAATTATCTTCCGAAAGCTTTCCAAAGTCCGGGCTTTTGCCCATCATATGTGACCTCCAAAAAACAATAAAAAGGCCAAACGGCGTTCAGCACGCTTGCTTTGCCACTGCTTTGAAGTAATTTAATGAAAATAATAGGAAATACTCAAAAATAAGATTTTCTTTGTATTCTACAATATGCAGTAACTCTAGAATTTAGATTTTTTACCAAACCTTCTTATGTCTAAGTTTATTTTTTTGCTACTCACCAGCGTTCCAGATGCCACGATCGAATTCCATATCAGTTAAGGTTTGTTGTGCTGGCGCCGCCTGTTTATGACACTTGCAATTATCCGCATCGTGTAGATCCATTTTAGCTAAATGTTAATAATTTATTTTGCTTTCAAAGTTCTTTTAGTTTTTGTCAATTATTTCCAATGTATAGTTTGTACGTACATATGTGTGAGTATATGCAACTGTTTATAAGTTTAACTTTATGCGTTTATTGCTTTAGCTTTTAGCTCAATGATTGAGAAATTCAACACTATTTTTTTGGGGGGTTTTGGAAAACAGTTGTTTGTTTTAATTCCTAACAAAGAAAAATAATATTCTTACAATTTTCTTAAGCTTTTAGTTTTATGCATACATATGTATTTGGTAATAATATTTGCTCAATTTTCTACATATTTTTTGATTACTTTTTTTTTTCTCAACAAAGCTTTTTCATAACTACATTTGAATATAAGTATACCGCAACGATTATATTTTTTTGTTAACAATAAAATTTGCAATTTCCAAAAGTATTCAACTTTAGAAGTTCTGCTTTTGTCTTTGAAAGTGATATTTAAATCTCGCGTTGCATAGTCCAACTGATCTCCGCCTCGCCGCAACTACAAACGACTTTATAACCCAACTGCGCTAACGTGTTCACCATATCCATCGGTGTAATTGTTACCATTACACCATTTACGGCACCCTTCAAGCCATTACCGAAACGCTTCGATAGCGCTTGGATTTCCGTATCGTTGAGCCCAAAAACAGCGCATGAGCGATCGTGCAAGGAACCTTTCACTGTTACATACGTATAGTTCTCCTCGTTTTGAACGATCGGCACTGGTATGGTTACCACATTCGCCACCGAGGTCGGCACTGAGTTCGTTGAAGTCGCCGTTTGTGCGGCCACCGAGGATGTGGCTGTTGTGGTTACATAGTTCACACTGGCTGCCGCGGCACCTATACTGGTGTTGGGGTTACTGGGGGCAGGTTGTGCCTCCGCTGGGGTGGGCATTGCGGTCGGTTGCGGAGGCGGAGGCTGAGAGTCCATTATTTAAAAATTTTTTGTTTGTTTATTGGCTAAATAGATTATAGTTTGGTTGGTAGAAAATGGGGTCTAAAATTAAAATGACGAACCGAACGAAAGAATATAAAAAATGTGCAAAATTAAGGTTTTCTTTTTGTTTTTTTCGTAAAGGATTTTGTTTTTTTTTTCACTTCTCAGTCAAACACGCGCACTTTTCGAATGTGGCACAGACGCTATTAGGTATTTAATTAGATAGTTATCTTTTTATTGCACTAATTTGTTTTTGTTTACTTTTTCGCGAAACTTCGAAGTCGTGTGTTTTCTAGTTTTTTTACTGCTTACTTGCTTCTTGAATTATTCTCCCTGTATGAATTTCCGTAGACGGAGATCAGGCGCCAGATATCTGATTTCGATTTGTTGTATTTGATTACTTTAACCGCTTTCTTATTCGGGCGAATCGACCTTATGGTAGTTGCCTAGGCCTGCTGCTTCACGTCCTATATTCGAAAGATTCTCACGTACAACGGATTCTGTTTCGAGAGGCTCTGGTTCATGGAATTCTTTTCGCATCGTCCACATATACTCGTTGTAGTCCTGTTTAACGGCTGTTGATGAAGAGGCGACTACACGAAAGCCTAAAATCTAAATATATGGGCGCTTTATTTAAAAATTTCTGAAATGTTTATATATCGATGGTTCCTACAATAACGACACAACTCAAAATTCAAAAAAAAAAATGTACTACTGTTAAGTGTATCCTATTTCTAATCCTTGTCTAATACATTTCCAACCCTTACAAAGGAAACAGTAAGGATTGCTAAAATAAGTACTAAAGGTTAGACGTGGATTCGAGCAGGATTAAAGCCATGAGCCACTTAACAGTAGTAAGGGTTTTTATTTTTTGAATTTGAATTGTGTCGTTATTGCACAGGACCATCGTATATCGATGGCTGAGTGGAAGATCGACCTATATCGGCAGCCAGTTCGAAAACGCTCTATCTCAAAAAACTTTTTAAGAACGCCCTATTTCAGAATTCGTTTCAAAAACGCTCTATCTCAGCGCCGATTCAAAAACGCCCTATATCAGCATATTTTCAATACATTTGTGAAGTGAGATAGGGCGTTTTTGAACCGAATTTTGAGATAGGGTGTTTTTCAATTAAATTCTGAAATAGGGCGTTCTTGAAAAGTTTTCTTTATATTTAAAATGTTTTCAGTAATATTATTTACGTATCATATACTACCTACTGTTAAGACAACTCATTGAAATCTTCACAGGCACTTTCTATGAATGCCGAAAAAGAAGCAGACTTTCAATGAACCCAAATAATAAAAACGTGTTATTCTACTTAATTTACATATAAAATGGTTTAATTTGTACCCAACGTTGTGGAATAAGCAAGTTTGTCCACTAATTGTCACGCAAATCGCATTTTAAGAAGAAAGAACTAGAATTACCAAAGGAGAAAAGTGAAAGTTTGTATGTATGTGTGTATGTATGTACGCACATATATAAAGAAATCATCATCATTGAAAAGGACAACTTAAATTTAACATGGAGAAAAAACTTGAAATTTACATAAGCAGATTACCAAGAAAATGGTTTAGGTTTTAATTGCTATAAAACATATTTGATATGAACCTTAAATAAATGTGTACAGTACATATGATTTGTGAATTAAAGAAGCTGCTTTAAAGGAAAGCTAAGCGAAAACAGGAGCCCTTCAACTTGTGCCACTCTAGCAAAAAGGAAAGGAGAAAGGAATTCAAAGTGGAAGGCCGCTTGACTCTCATGAAGGCCGTTTGGAAGGGCTTTTAGCTCCTGAAATTTCTGCTGGATAGAGACAAAAATATCTCTCGATATTTACAGTAATATCGATAATGAGCTGGCAGGCGAGTCTGGCCAACGACTGTCATTTATGTATGTAAATAACTGAGGACCCTTTTTTGTTTGAGGAACATGCAAACTACATTTGTTTAAGATACCTGTTTGCATCACTCGAAAGGTGTTTTTCGTTCTCGTACAATTTTGTTGTTTAACATTTCTACAGGATTTACTCCGGAGAAGAGGGAAGCGACCAATTGCTAATAAAAAAAGTTAATAAGGGTTTAAATCGGCATATTTTGTGAATTTGTTGCATGCTGTCAGCTAGCTTCATAGACATTTAAAATGAATTACCAACAAAACGTTACTTTTAAGAGAGCACTTTTAAATGAGGCTGTCATCAGCGTAGCAGCGAACACCTACTTTTTGATTGTATATGTTCCTATATATATCTCAAAATCTAAACGGGTTTCTTGGTCTGATTCATACTAAACAGTACGTATAGAAAAGATTTTTTTTTTAGAAATATGTATGTAGTACTTATTTATTTACCTCAAGCGCAGATAAGATTCTACATGGATGTACCAGATATACTATTGTTGTCTCATCGCTATAACCGCCGCACGAAAATTTATTCAACTGCTCAATTTCATCCGCTGCAATGAAGAAAAATATTACATTTGAAGGATGTTCCAAAAGTACTTAAGAGCGGGTTAAAACTTTTATAAATAGTGCAGATAAATAAATTTTGTGTAATGCAGTGGCAATCCCCCGTCCATTCCATTGAGATCGTCGGTCAAAAAGTTCAACGAAAAAGTGTGTTTGATAATGAAATACTTTATTTGTTAATAACCCAAGTCGATGAAAGCAAAATTAAATTTACATTCTGTTTTAGAATATCGTGTACACAATAGAATGGGCGGATATTGTACATTAAATTATAGTCATATATCATAGGAGATTTTGCTTCGTGAAATCAGTAAAAAAAAATGCAGCACTCAAATGAACCACCATGTATGCAATGTACTATTTAATATGTATGAACACACACATCTATAATAACACACAGCAATTATAAAGTGTGTCTAGCAATAAAATAAAAAAAAATAAAAAAACCGGCGCAAGCAATGCGATACAGCAAATGTAAATAAAGTTAATAGTGATGTCATCGGAAAACGGCATGGCGTTGATGGCTACAAGGGCCTTTTTGACCAACCGCAGGACAATGGAAAAATTATAACGAGGAATTACCTCATCGCAGGAATAGATGAAAAAAAAAACGAATCGAACGACTATTCACATAAATGAGAATGAATTTACATGTCTGTATGTATGTACATATATGCATGCGTACGCCTAGTCTGCGTCCACTTATTTTTTTTATTCTATATTCACAATGTTTTCCACGATAAACATTTTTCGCTTTTTTTTTTAATTTAAATATGATTCATATTATAACAAAAATCATATAAATCCAAATTTTTAACTTTGTACGAACACGATAAAAATCAACAAAATTGCAGCAAAGTTTCCAACTTTTAATTCGCATTAAAAAAGTGCAAGTTCAAAGTGTGTTAAAATTCGCGTTGCTTTTTGATTTTTATTTTTTAATTTTGCTGACGAAGTACTTATTTTCTTCCCAAAATGAAAGTATTCTCAAAATGTTTCGCTATTAGGTACCTTTGGATTTTTCAGCAGGCTATAAGTATCGAGAATCGAAATAAAATCAGATATTACAACTGCGTAGCAGCCACACAAAGAGAATAATACGGGTACAATGGAATGGTGTCAATCTTAAGTTCATTGACGCATATCTCCGTAGGGAAGGAAAGTTTGTTACTTGCATGCGTCGAGATTATTTATGTACATATGTATATGTTTGTACATACATATGTACATCAGCAAACATATGTATTTTGTAGGAACAAGTATTAAAGTCCTAAAAAAACAAATGCAAACCGTAAATTAACACTGCGATTGTCGTTAATCGTACGTATGTATGTATTTCGCGTTATTGACTGCTAACATTTGAAAACTTGATACATATTTATGTAATTCAAAAAGCGTAGAAACCCGCATTGAAGACATGCAGACACAAATTAACAGCATTGCGTATTTAGAGTAATTTACAAATTTTTACATTTTTTACGTTGGTTTTCAGTAAATTTCGCTATTACTCACGAAATGTGTATGTATGGTCAGCTTTCAAATTAAATATTCACATAAATAGCTGGAGCGAGTGGCAATCGCACAAAATCACTAAACGACGCCAGTAAATGGAATGAAATAAAGTTGAGCAAAGCTAAAGTGAACTCTCCCCATTCAGTAAGAGTTGGCCAGCACGAGCGCTACTGCCATTGAAATGACTTTTTCATTCTCATATGCATACATCTGTATGCACCAACATACACACCCATATGTGTACATATGTACATGTGCATATATATATATATATATATACAAATGTACTTAGTTTCATACATACTATGTATACCTGTGGGCACATAAACCTTATCACTTAAGATTCTGCATTTTTTTTTTTTAATTTTCCAAGTTCATACTCTTGAATTTTAGCTTGCATATTTAACAGATATTAATGTACGTATGTATAAGGACAGGAATAAAAATACTGAGATTGAGTTCATAAAGGGAAATTTGTTTGTTTGTTAGTATAGCGAACAAGCCGATAAGTTGTGCTCAGTTTCGCTATGGACGTTTCATTTTTGTAAGTCTTGAATCATTCAACCTTTAAATGTATGTTCCCAATAAACATTGCGGTTGGTTAACAATTCGAAAATGATTGGAAAACCAATTTATTTTTTTTTCGAATGTCACCTTCGATAGCTAATGTGCAATAGAATTGTGTTCTCCAGCAAAACAAAATCTTCGTTATCCAATGCATTCGTTATGATTTCGAAATCCAGCCCATTATCGAATTGCAATTTTAATCTTTATCGACCTGCTCATGTCTGTTGGAGTCCAATAAAAAGTTTGTTAGCCTTCTCTCCTAACACAAACGCGTCACAATATTCATACTTATATTTAAGATGCTTTCAATTAAAATTGTTTAAAGAAAATGCTCCTTAGACCTATTGGGTCACAAATATATTCGTTTAAAATAAAAAGCCATTGAAATCGGCCCAGTATTTTGGAAGTTTTTCATCCCTAAAATTATTCTTTCAATTTTCTATAATGGCATACATAAATAGATCAATGAAAAGGAGTCAATTTTTGGATAGATTATTATTTCGCGCAAGTCTTAGACATTTAAACACTTAAATCTGAACATATTTGAAGTTTTTCAGACGCGTATGCTTGAACAATTTCACTGTCACTGGCTAGTTTTACTTGGCCACAGGTGTATGCTTTGTATTTGTTGCTTTTATATTGTTTTTTTTTTTTTTGGTGCTAGTTGGCCGGTGCTCCATCATTTTCTTTGCCACAATATGGTGTGACATTGTTTGACAGTAGCGTAAATGTATCAGATATTTGACGATAAGGAACGAATATCTACACCAAATGACCTCAATACAAGTTCCAAGAGAAGAAAAGGTTTTTTGTTTCTAAAAATTTAACGGTAATGTACTGTTCTAATGTTGTATTGAGAGCAACGTTACAAAATACCAAAAAAAAGGGCTCATAATATTGAAAATTTAAATAAAAGTGAAAAATATGGTGCGCCAATTTCGACTTTGAAAGATGCAAAACCTACCGGAAAAAAATCCGGCGAAGACATCTAAAGGGTTATTCACTTCAAATCGTTTTACTTCCTATTGGCGCTTGGTTAATTTTTCCATTACATCTCAATAATTTATCTAAATATAGTTTCGTTTTAATATAAGGTGTGTTAAATAATTACGCTGTGACTTGGGACCATATTTTCAGTTAGTTATTGCAAAACGATAACCAATTAAAGCTATTGTGTGGCAATAACCTAATGATAAAAACATGTACAAAAGAAGCGAAAAAAGTAAAAAAAAATGTGGAAATATTCATATCGACAAATTAGCTCTCGCGGCTATCAAAATAAAATAAAAAGCGCTTGCGCAAATTCAACAGCAAAACAAAAAATATGAAAAAAAAAGAACAAGATGTTAGCCCGAAAGCAAATAGGCGAACATAAACTTTAGCTTACAATATATGAAAACGTTACCTTTAAGTCCGGAGACTAACACACGCCACGGATATTTATGGCTGTATGATGCTAAGTTTCCGCGTATAATAATGTAAGGCATTTGTCTAACAGCAGCGATGTTGACACTTGTACTGATTGTGAAAACACTACAACAACGTTAGATACTTTGATAATCGTTCTATGCTAGGCAACCACACTTTGTTTGTTGTACCTCTTGGCTCTTTGTGCAGTGCACGCCACACAATTACAGTAAATTATACAGGTTGCCAGAGAAGGTGTGTCCAATTCCAATAAGTAGCCGTCAACCGTAGGCTAAAAATTACCAACACTTTCGCATCGTACTGCCAAAGCTCTCTCATTGACTGATTTTCCAAATAACTTTATTTCCTTCGTATACGTTGAAAGTCTATCGAAAGCTTACTTCAAAGCCTATTTATGAGTCGCAACTAATAAATTATGTAGTTAATTTTACTTGGTTGATAGGCTTTAGAGCTGTGCTATGATTTTATCAAGTGTAAGTGTCACAAATGCGATTAAATGCTGTTGTTGTAGACGAATAGTTTATTTCTATAGTGGGCTTTTAAGATATTGCATGTTTTTACATATACACAAAGGTAGATATAACGTGTATATGTACAGCTAGCTGACTGTGGCTTTGTTCAGGCGCAAATTGATTTTTTTTTTGTATTATTCACTCTTTATTAGCGTTTGTATTTATTTTGAGCAGCATGTTTTGGAGGAAGTGAGAAAATTAGATTAATAGTAAACTTTAGTGGGTTTTTTTTATAAGAATATGAACATAATACTGTAAATGCAGATGGGTGAGAGCACCTAGCAAGTTTCTTTAAGAATACAGAATATATAAAAATTAAATATTTATTGCATTTTAAATGCATACATTTTACGGCAAAAGTAAAAGGTGACAGATGAAAGTGTAAATCTTGTTCTAATATACTATCGGAACACCTACAGTCTGTCGACGATTTAAAGATCTTCTGGGAAATAAGCAGCAAGAACGATGTCATCTTTCTGCAACATGATATATATGAACTTATTAAGTGGTGCACACGTAACAAGTTAAAGTTAAATATAGTAGATAAATGCAACTCGATGTGCTTCTTTCGGTCACGCTACATTCATCCAATTGAATTGAAAGCAAAGAAGGACTTGGGGGTGATCATCGATGACAAACTGACTTATTCTGATCATGTGGATAAAATATCTCAAGCATACAAAGTTCTTGGGTTTATTTTAAGATCTAGCAATGACCTCAGTTGCGACATTATACACTGCACTAGTTAGGCCAATATTGGAATACTGTTCGACAATTTCGTCACCTAGTACCAGCACCCGAATTCCAGCACTCGCTATCGGTAATTTTGATCGCTAAAAATCTCCAAAAGAAAAGCAGCCGCGCCTAACAACATGCAACATCTACTTACATGCCACTCGTACTGCCAGCTTTGGCTGATAACACATTGCATCTGTTACTTTTCCATGTTGCGTGCTTTTAGGCCCCACTGATTTAGAGAATTTTGGCTATGGAAATTAGCGTAGCGATTGTCAAATTCCTCTTTTATAAAATCATAAAGAGCCACATCGATTCCCCGGAAATCTTGGAACAATTTGGACTAGTTTGTAATAGGCCTGAATTAAGATCTAAAAGGTTATTAGGTACAATAAAAACCTCAAAAAAGTGTATGTCAGTAGGCGTTGTGCAAACATCAACTTTTTTGAGGGTTCTTTATTTATCTTTCGTACAAATTAAAGTATTTTCATTATATTTTTTACATTTCACTTATGTATACGTATGTACATAGTTAATTATACTAGCTAATAAAGATGTAGTGTACAGCCGATTGGCGTAAATTAATAAATAAATAAATATATATCTAATATAATACTCACGAATAAATTCATGAATTAATAACTCCAGACTTTTTGTTTTTTTGATAAAAAATTAAAAAAAAAAATTCTAACTTTAAGAGGGGAAAAATAAAAAAAAAACGACTGTTTTGCTTTTTTACCTTCCTTTTATTAGCTCGGGATGTAACTATGTAATATTGATGCGCCTAAAAGATGCAGCGATTTCTATTCTCAAGTTACATACCTGATGACAGTACGAATGGCAATTATAATAGGGTGGTTTTAGTTTTTTAAACTATAATTTAATTTGTATCATGCTTTAAACCTACTTTATTTTTACCTCCCTTTTTTATTTTCTTAATTAATTTCTCATAAACTATCAGGCCTACCGAAAAGTGATGTATATACGGTTTATAAGTTATACGGTACGGTTCGTAAGTTATACGTGATTAAGTGGATCAAAATTTTTTTTTAACTGAATAACGGTAAATTGCAAATATTTCGAAAACGTATCCATAGAAATTAAAATTACATAACTAGATTTTTCAAGTTATCCATAGGGAATTTTCGCAGTAAACCAGTGTAATTATGAGAAAAATCTTTCATGAAAATAATTGTGAATATTAGAACTAGGTGTAGGCTAACATTTGACACTGACTGTATGTACATTAGGGTGGCCCATATTTCGAAAAGTGCTCGGAATAGCCTAAAGAATAAACTATGCAAAGTTGTAGGTCAATCAAAAAAGATTTAGATGTGGCTCAAAGCGCTCAAAGTTTCCCCATGTATTTTATATGGCGAAAAAACTATTTTTCGTAGATATTGTATAGAATCCTTGAAAAGCAATATTTTTCAATCCGCAAACTCTTTTTGTCTTCAGGAGACTTCCAGAAAAAATAACCAATTGTTTATTTAAAAGTTTATTATTATATTGTACTAGCTTTTGCCCGACCCACGTCTTTATACAAATGTGAAAAATATTTTATATAAAGATGTTATATATTATTTCTGCTCTAATACTACTACTTACTATAGGAGAAAACGGAAGGACAGTTGTATAACTTATTAAATCCGAATTTTTGAAATGAAAATTTAAGTTTTCCGTTCGGTTACAAATTCTATTCTGCCCCGATCTACAAAATTTGCCATTATTTATAGCACAAAATTTTCAATACAAATTTTTAAGGTTGTTTATTTTCTATCCAAAACAGTGATCGTATAGAAACAGTAGTTTTCCTAACAAGTGAAATCACTGCCAAGTGAATTCAGTGATGTACCTTAACTTATAGCTTAGGTGTTATGTAATGAAATGTAATAATACCTTTTTTGCACAGCAGGTGTTTTTATTTACATTAAAATATCGCCAATAAATTATATATGTATACAAGTAATAGTAGAAATACCAATGTTGTAATATTAAAATTTTGGCTATCTAATCTTCGGGATAATAACTGTAATATTATTTCACAACATGTGTTTAATACTTGAAAGCTTCTTTTAACATAAATGCATTTTCCAATGAGAGGGCATGAACCGCCATTGACAAAAATGCAACTCCCGGCCACCTAGGCCCCCTATGGGTCCTTAGGGACCCGTTAGAAAAATTGCCAAAAATCACAATTTTTACTTGCGTCCACAGTATTTTTGCGTAAATTCTTTTTTGTGAAGGCGGCCTTCAGCCGCGCTTTAGGATTATAACTCTTACCAAATAGAATTCGCCTTTTGGTGTGTACCAACTGGGGCTACCGCCCCAGTGATGTAGCCTTGGGAAAGAATGAGGTAACAAGAATTCCTTTTCTGTGTTGTAAACCTGGGGCTGCCGCCCCAGTGATGTCTATTTTGGTTACTGGGTGTTTCATAAAAATGTCTTGTATATAAAAATGTCTTGCGCAAATGAATATTTAACATTTTTCAAGCGAAAAAACGCTTGGCCATGTTTCTAAGGGCTCTTTAGGGAACCATAGGAGGTATAGGTGGTCGGGGGCGACAGTTTTGTCAATGGCGGTTCATGCCCCTCCAAAAAGGGTGGTTGGAGGTGCCACACCCACTTCTTCGCCCACCGCCCCTTTAATGAACGCCGGTAGTCGGAGAAAAAAAGCATACCATTGAATTCCTTGATCTTTGCTCTTTTAAGCTGTAAAGGTGGGCGGTGCCACACCCCTTTAATTTTTTTGTACCAGCCCCTAACAAACAGATACTTTTCGGAACTCAACCCAAAAATATTGCTTTTCAAGGATTCTAAACAATTTCTAAGAAGAATAGTTTTTTCACACATTTTTAGGGGGCGAGACCGAGAGTCCAAACACTTCTATTTTTCTCCATATAACTAAGGGCTGTCCTAATGTGCATATACATATGTATAGTACGTTCCCAATTGCAAAATTTGGTTCTAAATATAATGTTACTTAAATGTATTAATGTTTAGTTCAATTACTTAAAACATATTCAACAGGACAAGAAATGAGGAATGAACCGAGATATCGCTTAAAATTTAGTGCCCACAAATCCATACATATATATATTTTGTATAACTCACTTTTTATGGCATGGAGCTTTTTATCGCATTCGTGCTTGCTGTTTGCCAGTTTCTGGATGTGCTTTTTTAATTAGCCAATGGCTGATGAGTGAAATTTTTAATAAAGTGTGCGAATTCGCTTGCAAATACTTCCGATTTTTCAATTAATTTATTATTTTTTCTATTCTGGGTCTGTCCGCCGATTCTCACTCAATTCGTTATTTGACACTTTTCTTTGCTTCTTTGTTTTGGGACAAACGATAGCACGGGCGGCGTTGCCACAGAACTTTAGCGTTTAAGAACTTTAAAGGCCCGTCCACATACAACTTTGGCGTTGCGTCGGCGCTGGCGTCGCTTTGACAGCAGCGCGAGTAACGCCCGTGCTTGCTACAATGAACGCTTAGCAGAGAATACTTTGGTCACTAAATTAACATACTAGCGGCAGAAAAACCAAAATTTTACATCAATAATTGCATTAAAAAATATATTTCTTGCCCGCATTTGATTAAAAATGAAAATTGAATCACATAATTTTGATTATTTGGAACAGCTGACGAATGACGCGCGCGAAAAGTTGAGAGTTGGTCATCTTTCTGCGTTGTGTTGGCGTTGGCGTTGCCCAACTTTGGTTATGTGGAGACTTTCATATAAATGCATGTATTCATAGTCAGCTGTCGAAGCGACGCCAACGCCAACGCAACGCCAAAGTTGTATGTAAACGGGCCTTAAGAACGTTAAGCAGATGCCATAAAACTTTTGCTTCGCTTACGCAAAGAACGTAAATGTCATCCGGTTTAATATTTATTTTGTTTCATCCAAATTCGAGTTTTCACGTAGACACATGAAACTTAATTACATTGCTGATATTTTTAAAGCAAAATATATAAAATCCACAGCAATTTTGACGAGTAAAAAAGCAGTACTAAATTGTTTTCTTGGCGTTCATTGTGGCATACCTTTTGCGCCTGGCGCTTTGCTGGGAAAATTATAAATGTAATGCAAAACTACAGTTTTTTCTGGCACCAGCTTTAAGAGCTTTTAGTACGAAAATTATAAAACGGCAACGCTGTTTGGGAATATTAGGACAGTAAAATCAACAGAGTTGCTTTTGTTGGCAGGGTGTTTTCAGTTATCGATATAAGAAAGTTCCGTAAATAATTATCGTTTATTATAATACTCGTCTTTCAATTCCTAGAAAAAAAAACGAAAAAATGCCGAAATTCTTGAAGGTATAGAAAAAACAATCGGGTGGTCCAGATACGTCTAAGAAAATCAAGTTAAATTAAAGAAGATAATTAGATAAAGCAATTATTTCACAGTTTCAATAAATTTCCTTGTGTACATATCTACCTTAGATTAGTAGTGGGTGCTGTGCCACCTCCCAACATTAAATGGAACTTTTTATTCTTTACTGGCCGAAAACGACAGAGTCAACACGCACTGTTCAATAAGGCAGAGGAGCCTCTATCACCGGGAACGTTACAAAGAAGCGTCGGCAGAAGTGTGGGTTTTGCGGCAGCTGCTGGGTAATTCATAGTTGGCCGGCCTACATACACCATACACGCTCCCCGAATTTCGCCGTACAGAACAGCTCAGTTCTCAGTTGATGAGCGAACGGCAGCTATAGCGGGACAAATAAAACAGCATACATACATATATAAAAATTCTGCGTGCGATATTAATAAATTCTCTAGAATATAGTAATTTCAGTTGAGTAAGAAGCCCCAAATTTCATTTACACGCATATATTAGCCAAACAGAATTTGTTTCAAGTGGTACATCTAAGAACAAGTGGCAAAGACCTTGAGATACCAGCTGGTACTGATTTAAGATATTTAAAAATGTCACGTTTGGGAGTTTTGGCTTTGCTGGTTACGTGCGTGATCGTCGTCAACGCCATGCCAGCCAACGCAGGCGTAACACACACCCATAAGCACGAGAAACACAACAGTAAAGAACGACTCAAGGATGGAATATATGCTGCACGGGACGCACATCATCACGAAGACGGGGAACATAATGTGGAGTTCGATCATGAAGCAATTATTGGTGAGCAAATTACAGTATTCCATCTAATAACAAACAATTCACAACTTTCTTTCAAAAGTGTTCATTATGCTTAGCAAAGTCCTTTTAAAGCACAGCTATTATAATAACACCCATGAATCAATTATTAAATCGAGCCCTAATTTTTTCAAAATTTTCTTTGTGATGCAGAAATATTCCTAGAGCATCTAGGTGCATTTCTGTATCAAAAAAAAAAAAACAAATGTCGCTTACGTTATGTTGGCGGTTAGGGCTCGAAATCATGAATAACACCATACATATGCATAGCTGCATAAATTAAACAAACTCATAAGCATGAAAAAAAAAATAATGTTACACAAATTCGGATGAATAGTCTAGTTTTCGGCACGTATGAACTTATGTATGTACGTATGTCTAACCTCTCTTGTTTCTGCTTGTGCTACGGTGCAGATATTTGAGGTTCGCTTCATTTGTGACACACGTGCAATGCTTTTGTGTTTCATTGCCTTACTTTTATATTCAACGGAATCATAAAAAGTTTGAAAAGCTAAGAAAAATTACTAAGACTTCCGCTGAAAGTGTTTACTCTCTTTTAGGCAGCATCAAAGAAGCACAAGAATTCGACAAACTCTCGCCTGAAGAATCAAAAAAGCGTTTGCTTGTACTTATAAAATTAATGGATCTAAATAAGGATGGCTTTGTTGAGCGCCATGAGCTGAAAGCTTGGATTTTAAGGTCTTTTAAGTGAGTTCTATGTTGTTGATTAATGCTTTAATTGTTAAAAGCCCTAATGCTATACCATATACACATATATCTATGTATATACAAGCTAAAACCTAATTTTTGTGTTAGTGTGAGTCGGAGCCTATGTCAGTTTTGCATGATGCACAATATTTATGACTATTTATAAGCGTCTGCCCTTGGCATGTAGAAGAAATAAGCGCCATTAAAAACTAAAGGTTTTTGCATTATTTATCAGTAACTACACATACACATGGCCTTCAAAATAACAGGAGCAAAATTCAAAATGATGCTGTTGGCAACTTATTTCTGTTTATTTATTTTTTCTATATTTTATAAATAAATTTTTAAAATATATTTTTGGGGCTGTGCTACTAGGCCATGTTATTTTAAACTTCGTTGAGCAAGTTATGTTTACTTAGGGTAAGTAATTTTATTTATCGATGTGCAAATTCGGAAGCGCTTTTGTTGCTAGCGGTAAATCAGCTGCACTTGATGGTAGTAGGTTGAATAAGGGAATGAATTAGCAACAAGAGCTTACGGGGTGTGCATAGCTCAGTGGTTAGCGCTTCTGACTTTGCACATCGATGATGCGGGTTCGATCCCTGCTGAAGTCTAGAAAAAAAGAAGTCTGATGAGGAGATGTGGTGATCTCCGAAATAGCTGCTATAACTTCTACCGCTTAAACTTGTTGCTTTTTCAGTTTTCCTTAAAAAACAAAAAAATCGTGGTACAAAGCTCAATAAAAATATTAAAATAAAAAATACATAGTTTAGGATGAGCCTGCCTGAAACTATACATACAATACAGTTAATAATTTTCGTTTAAAATATGAGCTGATCTATATCAGATACCACATAAATAAATGTTATAAAGCTTGCAGAAAGTTCACAAAACCTTATTGAACTTAAAAAAATGTTCGTCAAAATTTCGATTTTTTTAGCTAGATTTCCTAGAAAGATTTCGATTGTGCAATTTTGAAGCTCATTTAATTTAAGTAAAATTTAATGCGAGCTTCAAGTCGCTAAAAATTACCTTTTTTTTAGATTTGTTTTGTGGGGCGTGTAGCGCATTTGCTTCCATATAAAGCATGAACAAAACTTACTTTTATATGGAACAAAATGTGCAACACTCTCTACAAAACTTGCACTTTGTTATACTAAAATTTAATGGGCTATAAAACTGCATACTCGAAATATTTCTAGTAAATTTATTAAAAAAAATCGAAATTTTGACGAAATTTTTTTTAGTTTAGTTAGTTTTTGTGAACTTTATGCAAGCTTTGATACTTTTGTTTATGTGGTATCGATCTGATATAGATCCACCAATATTATAAATGAAAATTATTAAATAAAGACAAAATAAATAAAGACAAGTTGTAAACAGCATCATTTTGAATTTTTCTGCAATTATTTTGAAGGCCACTGTATACATATATTTATATGCATTTTACAACCTAACTAGTTCCGCTATTTTCTATATTTAATGGCTTGAAGCAAAAATTGTAATAATTCATATTTGGTACTCATGGATACAGAAAACTCGGCGAAGAGGAAGCGGCTGACCGAATGGAAGAGATTGATGCAGATGGTGACTATCAAATAACTTGGAAGGAATATCTCAAAGATAGCTTTTCGATGGAGGATGAAGAAGAAAAGAAAGAACTAATCGATTTCGATAGCTATGATGAGGAGAAACAAATGATTAAATCTGACAAGGAGCTTTTCAATGCTGCCGATTTGAATAAGGATGGTGTACTGGACTCCAAAGAATATGTTCTCTTCTATTCGCCAGAAGAGCACCCGCAAATGCTGCCTATCGTGCTGGAGCATACTCTCCGAGAGAAGGATACAAATCACAATGGTGAAATAGATTACTCCGAATTCATCGGCACAGCTGGGCAAGAGAGAAGTCGTGAATGGCTGGTGGAAGAAAAAGATCGTTTCGATCATTTGGATGAGAATAAAGATGGCCTATTGACCGGTAACGAGGTCCTCAATTGGGTAGTGCCGAATAGTGAGGCAATCGCCAAAGATGAAGTTGACCATTTATTTGTATCAACCGATGAAGATCACGACGATCGCTTAAGCTATTTGGAAATATTGAGTAACTATGACACTTTTGTGGGCAGCGAGGCGACGGACTATGGCGATCATTTGCAGAATATAAACCATTTTCTTGATGAGCTGTAATGAGGCGCAGTTTTACTTCCAAGCACTTAATGCCAAACCCGTGGAAATTATTCGAAACGAAACGTACAATATTTGATTTTAGTAATTCATTTAGAATATTCGAAGCTCATCGTGGATTATATTAAGTTTAAGTG